TCCCTTCCCCTCCCCTCCACCCCCCCTTCCTTCTCCTCTCCTCCCCTTTCCTTCCCCTCCCCTCTTCTCCCCTCCACTCCCCTCCCCTCCTTTCCCCTCCCTTCCCCTCCCTTCTTGTCTCCTCCCCTCCCTTTCCCTCTTCTCTCCTCTTTTGGTCTTGCTCTGTTGCCCAGGTTGGAGTATAGTGGCAGCAAATTGAAAAAATTTTTTTCTGGCCACGCATGGTGGCTCACACCTGTAATCCCAGGACTTTGGGAGGCCAAGGTGGGCAAATCACAAGCTCAGGAGATCAAGACTATTTTGGCCAACATGGCGAAACCCCATCTACACTAATAATACAAAAATTAGCTGGGCGTGGTGACGTGCGCCTGTAGTCTCCGCTACTCGGGAGGCTGAGGCAGGAGAATTGCTTGAACCCAGGAGCCGGAGGTTGCAGTGAGCCAAGATCGCACCACTGCACTCCAGCCTGGCGACAGAGAGAGACTCTGTCTCCTAAAAACAAAAATAACTTTTTTTTTTAATATACAAAAGGATGTCACTACATTGCCCAGGCTGATCTTGAACTCCTGGGCTCAAGCAGTCCTCCTGCCTTGACTTTCCAAAGTGCCGAGATGTATATTTTCCAGCCTCCTTATTAAAGACTGGTCTTTTACTTATTAACACTTCTCAATATTTATCCCAGTAGAAATAATATTGTACTGGGAGCATGGTGATGTGGAAGTTACTCATCGTTCTCCCAGTAAACCACAATAAACAACCTTCCTTTCTATATCCAGTTTCTTTTACTTTAAAATGAGCATAAGAATATTTGCCTTATCTTTTTTTTATTATTATTTTTTATTTTCTTTTGAGACGGAGTCTCACTTTCTTGCCCAGGCTGAAGTGCAATGGCACAGTCTCGACTCACTGCAACCTCTGCCTCCCAGGTTCAAGCAATTCTCCTACCTCAGCCTCCCAGGTACCTGGGATTATAGGCACGTACCACCATGCTTGGCTAGTTTTTTGTATCTTTAGTAGAGATGGGGTTTCACCACATTAGCCAGGATGGTCTCAATCTCCTGACCTCGTGATCTTCTCACCTGGGCCTCCCAAAGTGCTAGGATTACAGGAGTGAGCCACTATGCCTGGCCTTATCTTCTTTATGACTTATAACTTTAGTCTAAGGATTACATAATATTACAAAAGCAAAAATAACTTTGAAAAGTGTTTTAAGGCCAGGTGTGGTGGCTCACGCCTGTAATCTCAGCACTTTGGAAGGCAAAGGCGGTGGGTCACTTGAGGTCAGGAGTTCAAGACCAGCCTGGCCAACATGATAAAACCCCATCTCTACTACAGATACAAAAATTAGCTGGGCATGGTGGCAGGCACCTGTAAGCTCAGCTACCTGGGGGGCTGAGGCACGATAATTTTTTGAGCCTGGGAGATGGAGGTTGCAGTGAGCTGAGGTTGCACCATTGCACTCCAGCCTGAGCAAACAAAGGTAGTTTCTGTCTCAAAGAAAAAAAAAGTGTTAAAATGTCAGGTATTAGAAGTAGCATTATGATTGTGTGTCAATTTCAGAGCACTTCCCGAAATCACTGAAATTAATTTGAGTGTTTGGTGTTAGTTTGAAGCTGTAAGACTTGCAGGGTCTTAGTTGTCTCCATTTTCTGTCCTTTGTTTCCAAACTGCTGACCCAGATCTAAACATCAGTGTGCAGGTTGGGCAGTGTTCGCCTTGTTCCAGGTTTGTCCCTCAACACCATCTTTCAGACACCTTCCAATTTCTCTGCTTCCCTAACCCCTGGCTAGCCTTGTCCTACCCTAGCCTTTGTATTTTTAATAGAGATGGGGTTTCACCGTGTTAGGCAGGATGGTCTTAATCTCTGGACATTGTGATCCACCCACCTGGGCCTCCCAAAGTGCTGGGATTACAGGCCTGAGCCACCATGCCTTATCTTGGGCTGTGTTTGCCTTGTTCCAGATTTGTCCCTCAACGCTATCTTTCAGACACTTTCCACAGGCCACCAGGCCTGGCCTAGCCATGTCCAGGTCAGGCTCCTGGAAGTGAGCCCACCTTGCCTAGAAAGGGAATTCAGACAAACTTACCTGGGTAGCACTTAATCGACACACCTCTTTCTCTCCAGACTTGTTCACATGATAAACCCATGTCAGGCTCCAAACTCACATTGTAAAATCTCTCTCCTGCCACATCTCTCCAATATCTTAGAGATACAGCCACCTCATGGTATCATGACAATTAACAGTCTTTCAGCATCTATCCCCTTCAGGAAGGACAAAGCTCCATCCCTTCCTTCTTACAAATATGTACTCTCTTCTGACTTCTTTTCCTTGGATATTTATTTCAATTTGATATTACCTGAATACAGCTATTTCCCATTATACAGGGCACCAGTATGATTCTCAGGTTTCATACAACCCACTATCGACAGCCAAGTGGATGCTTAAGCTACAAATGAGTTAGGTTTCAAATGAGATATGACTCCTATTCAATTAACTGTATAAAATTTGTTATATAACCAGCAAACAGAAGTTTAAGTCTAAAAATAGTATTCGAGATCTAGGACAAGAGGTGGAGACAAAAAGTCAGGAAGAAGATGAAGTCCTCAGGAAAAGAAATAATTCATCTACTAGGTTAGTAATTGTTTTCTACAAAAACCATCCGACATAACCCATGCTGTAGTGGGATTTAGAACATACTGATAAGAAACTAAGTTTCCTCCCTGAATGTCAACAGGAAGAAACCAAAAGTGTAAACTTGGAAATTGTAACATGTTAAAAATCTCTTTTCATGTGAAAAAAGAATGTGTTATAATAGAAAAAAATATAAAAAGAGGAGTCTGGAAAAATAATCGTCTGACATAAAAGTGATCATATAGTTAATACAAATATTCTTACAGTGGAAAATGTCAATCTTTCTAACTCATACCAAGCAATTTCTTGATATATAATCTATTCCTAAGATGAATCTCTCTTCCAGGAACGGTGGGGGATAGAGATGGAGAGAGGAGAGTCAGGGGTGATACGGATGATCAGTTCTGTTGTTTAGGTATGTAATCTAAAAAATTCTCATTCTGATTCATTTCTTGCTCATTTAACGGGAGTCTCATCAGCCTCTGAACAGCCTGCTTAAACTTCTCATCCTGCAAAGGCAAGGTAGAACTAGTCCCAAAAGCTATTGTACCTCATGAGGCTCTTCCTAAAAAACTAGACTCCCCTACATTCCTCATGCTCATTATTACATTTGGCATCTGGGCTCCTTTGTGCACCACAGACTAACCACTTATTGTGTTGCCAGTTGGCGTTGCCTTTCCATGGCACTCTTTATCTCGTATTTCATTAATTTTTCTCATAACAGGCTATAAGCTCCTTGAGGATAAAGGTGCCTTCAAATTTACAGTCCTTTACTACCACCATCCCAATGCCTTCCACAGAGGAAGTTTTCATTAAAAGGTTTTCATACATAACAAATCAAGATGAACAATGCTGATACTGGACACGTCATTTTACCAAAGTCCTCGAATTAAAATTTCCATAATGATAAACCACAGTTCCTTCAAAATCCAGGTCATGGCTCATTTTCTCCAAAAAACGTTCTTTTTTATCCCTTGTTTCCTTAATTCTTATTTCTTGATTTTTATTAGGAATATGACAGTGTATAACTTGACTAAAGAAGCTGTTTAATTTTACACCTTTTTCTTTTTCTTTTTTGAGACAGAGTCTCGCTCTGTCACCCAGGCTGGATAGACTACAGTGGCATGATCTCACTCACTGCAACTTCCACCTTCTTGGTACAAAATATTCTCCTGCCTCAGCCTCCCGAGAAGCTGGAATTACAGGTGCACGCCACCACGCCCAGTTAATTTTTGTATTTTTAGTAGAGTCGATGTTTTGCCACTTTGGCCAGGCTGGTCTTGAACTCGTGACCTCAGATGATCCACCCACCTCAGCTTCCCAAAGTGCTGGGATACAGGCATGAGCCACCATGCCCGGCCTTTTGTACCTGTTTTAAAGGCATATTATAAGCAGATGCTTTCTCTTCCCAGCTAGTTTCTAAGTATTTTTGAAAGTAAGGAACCATACCTTCAATTTCCTCACACCATTCATACACAATTCTGCACACAGTTTTAATATTTATCCAGTGCTTTCGAGGTACCAGGTGGTTTTTAAACACTGCATATGGATTTGATTATTCAACCCTCATGGCAACACTACAGTACTAGACGTAAATAATGAACTCAAGGTCACACAAACAGAAAGTGGCAGCGCCAGGATTTGATCTCAGGCAGTCTTGCTCCAGAGCCCCTTGTCTTAACCACTCTACTGCCTCCTAAACAAAAAAAAAATATAAATCTGCTTTATTCCCTTGTAGACAGAACACATTACAGTGGCTTCATGCACAATTGGTTTAATCTAAAAAGTTTATTAAAGGCATGCTTTTTGGTAAATGGTGGCTTGTGCTGTAGTCAGACGGAAGAGATCATTCTGCTACCTTTGTTTCTCTCTTTGCTTCTTTTATTATTTATATTGCTAAAATCTCTCTCTTACTACCATAATGTGATCCTGTTTTTCATGGACAATATCGCACTACCACCAAGTTATCCGTAACACCACAACTTCTTGACAGGCTGGCCATTTCTGACACTTGTGTATGTCTCAGAATGTCAGTCCCAAAGCCCCTTGCTGCTGCTGCCTCACATACAACAGCAATGACAGATTTACCTGAGGGTGGGTCTCAGCTCTGCTACTTACCAGCTGTGGAAGCTTTTTTTTTTTTTTTTTGAGATGGAGTCTCACTCTGTTGCCCTGGCTGGAGTACAGTGGCGTGATCTCAGCTCACTGCAACCTCTGCCTCCTGGGTTCAAGTGATTCTCCTGCCTTGGCCTCCTGAGTAGCTGGGGTTACAGGCATGTGGTACCATCACACCTGGATAATTTTTGTATTTTTGGTAGAGGTGGGTTTTCGTTATGTTGGCCAGGCTGGTCTCGAAAGGCTGACCTCAGGTGATCCTGCCGCCTTGGCCTCCCAAAGGGCTGGGATTACAGGCATGAGCCACTGCGCCTGGCCTCAGTTGTGGAAACTTGGGTAAATCATTGAAATTCTCTTCACCTCAGTTCTTCGTCAGAGAAACAAGGACAATAAAATCTTCATGAGTGTTACTGTGAGATTCAGAGATGATGTAGATAAAGTAACTAGCACAGCCTCTGGCACACAGTAGGTACTGAGTTAACAGTACTTGTTATTATTCTCTCAGTAATTCATACAGGTGGTGCTGCACAAGAATGATCAACATAGAGCTGTTCTTAGAGATCTGCTCACTCACTGGGCCTCCTGGTATAGCTGTTTTTCTGTTGTGCAGTTGTTAAACCTGCTTCGATTATAAATCTCACAGATTTTTGCACCCCATTAATCAGTGAAAAGACATAGTGTCTTTGTAGATTTGCATATCATTGCTTTAGATCCCATTCACTCCAGAGAATTTGCTGTGAGGCAGCTGGTCATTTTACCTTCCTTGGTTAGCCCCACAGCTGTCAAATAGAACAATGACATCATTGATTTGGGATGTTTCTCACACGTAAAGAATAATGAATTAAAAATTTCCTATCACCCTCCTAAGGCAAAGCTGTCTATAATTGTGTCTCATAGGTCCTTAATACTCTTCTTTTTTTTTTTCTTTTTGAGACAGAGTCTTGCTCTGTCAGCCAGGGTGGAGTGCAGTGGTGTGATCTCGGCTCACTGCAACCTCCTCCTCTCAGGTTCAAGCAGTTCTGCCTCAGACTCCCGGGTATGAGCCACAGACATGAGCCACCACATCCTGCTAATTTTTGTATTTTTAGTAGTGATAGGGTTTCACCATGTGGGCCAGGCTGGTCTCAAACTTCTGACCTCAAGTGATCCACCCGCCTCTGCCTCACAAAGTGCTGGAATTACAAACATGAGCCACTGCGCCTGGTCAGGTCCTTAACACTCTTAAACATTCAGGGCAGATTGTACAAATCGATCTTTGTCAATGAGGAATTATTATGATTTGGGTTGTTGCAGTACCTAAAAGGAAAAAGACAAGTTATCGATACTATGATCGATTCTAAAATTAAGCAGTGCTGAACAAAATACTCTTGCATTTGGAGGAGATTTGAAGATTTCCCCATTTTCCTCCCTTCTTCCACTTCCTCCTACTTGATATTTGGATTCCTTTATAAAGAATGACAAAATGTCATTCAGCCTCTGCTTTATCCCCACCATACAGCTCATGAAGACAAGACAGCTTGCAATTACCAATCTCTAGTTGGCCAATACTGTTCATAAATTCAGATTGTTATCTTTTTTTAAAATCAAGCATTTCCGTGGCATATTGTGCTATTCAGCCCATTAAATGCACATCACTATTCTTATTTCATTGAACAGCATTGGTTACGAAGGTAAAGCTACTAAACCAGAATTGTGGAGACCTGGGGACCTGGGCTATAGTTGAAGCGGTGTCACTAGTACAGACAAGTCAACCACAGCCAGCTCCAGTTTATTCAATTGTGAAATGCTGGCTCTCTGTCTGACCTGCCCAGCTGCAACCTCCCCGCTCAGCAGACAGGCAGGCCCCAACTTACAAATGCATCCTGTTCCAAAAGACCATGGAAACCTGTTATTTGGAACTCAGAAACTATTTCCCTGTTGTAACAACATTACAAATGATGACTGGAGTCTCAGGTTTGCCCACAACAATCTACTTCATTCATAAAGGGAGTTAAATTATGATACCAGTCCAAGTGTAAGAGGGATGAAAAATAATTTCTTCCTCCTTTTCTGGATGCAAGTCAACACCAGACAAAACTCTGAAATATGTGTTGTTTACCTTGGCACCTTCCCACTCCCATTCCTTTTCCTCTCTTCTGTCTTCTTAATGTCCTTCAGGGACCCAAAGTCTCCAACCCACACCTGTTTCACTCTGCAAAGTTACTTTCTCTGTCCTCTCCATTCCCACCCCACCATTCTCCTACTGCTCCTCCACCCCCATCCTCCAACTGTAACCCTGCTGGTCTTCACCCTACCCCCCATCTTGTCCTCCCATCAAACTTCCTCTCCGTCAGTGAAGCTGTCTTCAGCTAGCTTAGGGAGAAGGAAATCTGATTTAAATGATCTGTAAATACCTAAGCTTAATAAGAGCTGACATTTACATAGCGCTTCCTGTGTGCCTGGCACTATTTTAAGCACGTATCAACTCTCTAGATTCTCGACAACCACGTGAGAGAGGTGCTATTATCTGCATACCACAAATGAAGAAACTGAGGCACAGAGTGGTTAAGCGACTTGCTCAAGATCATAACGCTATAAAGTCAGTGGTAGAGGTGGTATTTGAATCGATGCAGTCTGACACCCAAGCCTGTGCTCTTATGCTCATTTTAAAGAAGCCTATTTTCTTCTTTAAAAAGAAATGCTTAACCCGACTGAGTCTCCACATCTTAAGCAGCGTAACAGAGAAGTGAAAAACTTTTAAGTAGTGTCAGAGAAGATATTCTGGGACAGGCAGGCACAAGGCCAGAGTGGAAACTGATAATGTTTTGCAGGGCTCAAGTAGGTGATGAAAACGAATACATGGTGGCTTTACCATTGGTGGCTTAGATTGTAGTCTTTCTTCACAGGCACAACCTAGAGGAATGTTCTTCCCATCCACAGAAAAAAGTTATCTCCTATGTTTCTTGATTCTCTCATTCTACCTTTCTCTACCCAGCTTTGAAACAGATATAGACACAAGGTTGACATTTCTCATAAAAGACCTATAAGACAGGCAGCAGTGCCAGTGCCAATAATAAGTGGAAATCAGCCTGGGTGCCTTGGTGTGCTGAGGCTCTCTGTGGCAACCAGAAAGCATGTGTCCTCTCTAGAGATACAACAGCTTCTCAGACCCAGGTGTTTTTTTGGTAGGCAAGCAAGCTGACAGTTTCACTCCAGAGCCTGGACTCTTAACTGCTTTGTTATCCTGCCTGGGTTCAAGTCACACTTGGACAATGTTTTTAACATACTTCATTGTAAATGTATTGACTTTCAAAGTTAATGGTTGCATCTGTGAATAAATTAGAAAGATGTCTGTACTTATCAGAACTCCTTCAGTTGCAAGCGCCATGAACCAACTCAAATTATCTGTAAAACACACATGTCGGTTGGAATGTAAGAACACAATGTCAGACATGAACTAAATCTAGGGACCCAAGCAATATAATTAAACTCCCTCTTTCTATCTTTCAGGTCTTCTGTTGGTATGTTGACACCCCAGATACACATCCTTCCAGTCCATAAATCTCAAAATGAGGACAGGCTTCCGCTCCAGCTCCAGCTGAAAAGTACCAGTGAAGGACTTTGGTTAGCTCATTTGGGGTTGTGTGTCCACCCCTGAGCCAATTGCTTGACCTCCTGAGGTGCTGGATTTCTTTGATTAGCCAGGTCTAGTTTATTTTTTTGTCACCATGATGTGGGGAGTAGGTGGCAGAGTACTGTGACTGACAACCCCGCCAAGCTCTAATAAAGTTGGATGGCTCTTGGCAATCAAAACTATAGCTATCTACTAGAATATTCAATGTTATCTGTAGCTTGAAAATTAGGGAAATTAAAGGGACAAATAATAGCTTATGTTGGATAACTCAAAAAGCCGAAACCAGCTTTAGGGTGGATACTTTGTGTACTTAGTCAGTGTCTTACGGACTATGACAAATGTCTCAATAAAAAGTAAAAAATTCATTCAATCATAAAGATGTTTCAAAATATTTGTTTTGGTGTCTTACAAAAATATAGATAATTGACTGACTCGTTTTTTTAATCTGGATGTTTTAATACTGTATAAACCAAACTTAATGCCATTTAAATTCTACAACATATAACCCTGAATCATAATTACATGATTTAAAAAACATTGGATTTTAATAGGCGATTTATTGTCTTGCCATATCATGTTTCCGCCCAACAAGCTAGAGCTAAACCAGAGAACTAATATAAGATAAAAGGGAGAAATCGCATTGCCGTTACATTTCCATAATAGAGTTGAACAAAGAACTAAAATCAAGATACGCTTTATTTAAAAATTTGAAAATTATCGAAGTCTTTGTCTTTGCTGTAATTTCCCACCATATTTAATTGGAATATAGGTCATTAGGTGATTTGGACCCACCTCCAAATGAAATAGAATTATGACTGGACCTCTTCATAACTAATAATTTTTACACCAAAAAGAAGGTCTCACTCCCCTTCCCTTTGCGCAATGAAATACAAAAATGTCAGGGGGATTTTCTCTTCAAAGTTAATGCTTTGTCTGTTTCTCTTCCAGCATATTCACTATCAACAGAGTATGCTAAATCTCCAAATTCCCAGTTGTAATATGCTATGTAAAAGTAAAAGAAACATCTAATTTTATATTGTTAAGTCAGATTTATTTCTCTTCTTGCTGGCATTATAAATTTATTGAAGTTATACCATAGCCAGGCTTTCAGGCTATGCACTGTACACATATTAGTCTTTTAATCCTTACCACAATCTTAAGAGAAAGAGATCATTTTACAGGTGAGGAAATGGGGATTGATGTAATCTTCAAAACAGTCATCTGGGGTAGATAACATTTTAGTCCTCTACACTGATGAGAAAACTAAGGCTCAGGGTGGTTATGAAAATTACCCAAGTTCACAGAGCTAATAAGGGATACAACTGAGATTTGTATCCCAGGCAATCTGGGTTCAAATCTCAGTTTTGGCTGGGTGTGGTAGCTCACGCCTATAATTCCAGCATTTTGGAAGGCCAAGGCAGGTGGATCACTTGAGGTCAGGAGTTTGAGACCAGCCTGGCCAACATGGTGAAACCCTGTCTCTACTAAAAA